GGACAACCGATGACCCACAGACAACCGAGGACCAACGGACAACCAACGACCCACAGACAACCGAGGACCAACGGACAACCGACGACCCACAGACACTCCGAGGACCAACGGACAACCAACGACCCACAGACAACCGACGACGCACAGACAACCGATGACCCACAGACAACCGACGACGCACAGACAACCGATGACCCACAGACAACCGACGACGCACAGACAACCGATGACCCACAAACAACCGAGGAACAACGGACAACCAACGACCCACGGACAATCGAGGACCAACGGACAACCGAGGACCCACACAACCGACAATGAAAAGCTGACAATTGACGTACTGTACTGCAATGTCTTCAAGTCTGCTGCACTTGGAGGCTAAAATACTGGCCTTTCTTTTAGCTCTTGTACCTGGTTGCTTATTTCAACTACAAATCGTTTATTTACGCCTTTACCGCAGAAATTGCGGTCGATTTGTAGTCCTCCCTCTTTGTTCTCTCCGCTTTTTCCACATGGCTTGCATGTACCTCCTGGACATTGAGTTGTGATTTTCACGATATACAAGAATCGAGGATTCTTGTTTCACAACTTACTTTAAACCCTGCTGCACACTTGCTCTGCATAATGACTTGACGAATAAAATCTGACTGACTGGACTTTACCACACTGACTGCACAACTGACGACTTACTGACTGACTAGACGAACAGAGCAACTGACCTGACGAAACAAACCTGACTGACTAGACTATACCACATAGACTGCACAACGACTTAGACTGACTGACTAGACGAACCGTTGTCCACTACACAACAACTGACCTGACTAGACAAACCTGACTGACTAGACTATACCACATAGACTGCACAACGACTTTGACTGACAGACTAGACGAACCGTTGTCCACTACACAACAACTGACCTGACCAGACAAACCTGACTGACCGGACTATACCACATAGACAGCACAACGACTTTGACTGACAGACTAGACGAACCGTTGTCCACTAAAGAACAACAATTAACCAGACGAGATAAACCTGACTGACAGAACTATACCATATGTCAACTGCCTCTGTAGAATCGGCTTTTTTAGAATAATTAAGTAAATCTGGACAGACTGGCAAAATATGCTATCAACCATTGTAAAGCAGTTTATTTGTAAAATAACCGAATAAAGATGAATACATGTTATCGAATGTGCTGTTGTCTGATGCTGGGAAACGAGCTAGCGAACTTCGTTTCGTATTTCATTCAAAACTTTTTTTTTTTAAATATATATATATACAGTCAATGTCATTAACGTTGTCCACCGAAAAAAGACATTTAGACATTTACACATTTAGACTAAAGTGAGCCTGAACTTTAAATGTAAAATTCAACTCGTGAATCGAAAATCCAGAATGCCCCGACCACTTAGTGAGGATTTAAGATGGAGAATTGCATTTCAGCGTTTGTTTTATGACAGAACGTTYGAGGAAACACGTGATATTTTTTTAGTCTAAATGTCTAAATGTGTAAATGTGTAAATGTCCTTTTTTTGGTGGACAACGTTAATGACATTCGGCAAAACTCAGTAATTTGATTTGCACAAGAGACAATTAGACGATATCACTGACACATTAATGAATCTCGTGCTGTGCTTAAAGGCATGGTTCCTTGTTTGAAACCTTCAAACACATCTTTGTTTAGGAAAATTCAAGCACTTACTATACATATCTATGTATACTCTCGATAAATCTAGATTATAGATTATAGTGTTTAAATTATCATTATTTATCTTTATTATTAGCTTTGGCTCACAGCCAACAGTTTGAATAAAATATATTTTGAATGCGTTTCCATCAAATTGGAGTTCCACAAGGATCAATACTTGGACCACTAATGTTTCACTAATATTTACGTAATACAAAGATTACTCAGTCTCAATATCTTCACTTCATAATCACTCCGTCGTACCAAGGTTTGGATCTTGAAACTTCAAGACAATTAATGACATCAATGTTCCATTCATCGACTTCGCGTGATGCTTAACTCTCTGAATATTTGAGAAGACCGTAACTGAGAGAGATTTTCAGAGATACTTCTGAGATACGTTTTTGAAACAAATTTAACCGTGATATTATTATTAATTATACAGCTTCTCATTAATCCCATATATTCCAATTATTTTCTTAATCATATCCTTTTTGTAATCACTACCAAATCCTGCAATCTGATTGGCTCAAAGGAGTGCGATTAATTCCCAAATTGCATCCTTAGGAGCTCTTAATCGCATCCTAAAAAAATAATTTTTTTTAAACAATGAAATAAAACAAAAAAAATCAACCAAAAAAATTTTTTTAGATTTTTTTTTTGTTCGCATTTAGTTCTTCTACTACATTAAATTGATTATTCTGCACTGTGTCTTTTTCTTGTGTATTATTTCTTAATTGGACAGCATGGAGTCCTATTACATATACTAATACCAATAAACTACACATTTTCAACATTGAGAGTTTTTCGTGTCATATGCACTTTAAAATCGTTCTAGACCCGCCACTGAATAGGCCTCAYACTGTGAAATAGGGATGTCTGTTGGGATAGCTTGTAAATTTCAATTAAAATGTTTGTAAAAAATAAAAAATAAA